GGGGTCATTTTCAGGACTTTCGTCCAGGATTCAGGTTTTGGCACATATGCCATGTTGACCGCCATGGTCATTTTACCCTAAAACAGTTGAGATTACCTGTGGTAAATGAAATGCATACAAACTCATATACAGGTCCTAGACTAACTTGATAGTTAGTACTATATAGGGTTAGGTTAAAATGCGGAAGCGGAACGGAACGGATGGGGTTAAAATGCGGAACGGAACGCAACGGATGGGGTTAAAATGCGGAACGGAACGGATATGGTGTTAAAATGTGGAACAAAACGGATATGGGGTTAAAATGCGGAACGGAACGGATATGGGTTTTAAATTAAGTTTTAACCTCATATTCGTTCCGTTCTGCATTTTAATCCCATCCGTTCCGCACCGCTGCCGCATTTTAACCTGACCCGTACTATATATCACGTGTTGTATGGAATGTTGACCACGTCAAATGTTGCCCATATCAATCGATCGATATTCTCCAATGTCTTTAATGTTCCAATAACGATTGTCGATTTCTAGCATTTCTAAACATTTTCATATAAGCGCCTTCGACAATTCTGATGTCAGACCTCCAAAGGCCGTAATAATCTGCTCCCTGTCCGAAGACATTAAAATCTTCCGTTCATATAGTAGCAACGCTTCAAGTTTTTTTTGAGACATACACGAACGTGTGCACGTTTGAATGGAATTGCAACTGCGATCGCATAAACTTTGGAAAGAGTTGGAAATGCATCAACTAGCTAAGTGGTAATCAGGATTCAATAGAATTCTCAGAGCCTCTAAAAATGATGGTTTATCCTTGTCTTTTGATTCTTCAGCAGTTCCGTGGGCGCTTGACTCGCTGTCGGTTTCTTCGGTTTCAGATTCATAACCGGAGTAAAAATCAGAATCTTTCTCTTCTTCTTTGTCTTCATCTTTCTCTTCTCCTTTGTCTTAAATAGGAACGAATGGCCTAGAGATAACCTATGCGTTTCGAATAACGGTAGACTGAAATGGCTTGGTTTATTCGAAGAACTAAACGACATTGTCAGCGATTCAATAATGTTGACAGGAAAGTGGTAAGGTTCAGGCGGGGATTGCAAATTATTCGAAGCAGAAAATACAGAAATAAGATGGTATTCGAAGACCAAAACGTTAACAGTCAAAGGGGATAAAACTGATGAGTTCAAAAATAAAATAATGCTTGAAATAATTCCAAATATCGATGAATAAACAGAAGAAATGGAGAAAGATGGCGGTAGTGCATTTGAGCAATAAGGCAACCAAGCGAAACATGGGAGGGGCACCTTGGATGTTGTTGTCTTTGCTGAGATATTCGAGAAAATTAGTGATGTACAACCACAAATGCATAACAAGTTCAAATACCTCTGTGACGAAATAAGTGGAATCAAAGATAAAACTGACGATCAGCCGGCTAAAGTCGACAGAAATAAATCAGACGAATACATAAACTATTTGCTCAAGGCCAACAAGGAACTTAAAGAAGAGAATAAAATGCTAGAGGAAAGGGCAACTAACATATCGCACATAATGACTGACTTAAATACAAAACTAAAGGACCTTGAGAACGAAAAGGCAAGTTTGCTAACCGTTATAAAGATATTACAGCCGGAACAAGTTCATGAAACCAGTCATGGAGATTGGAAGTCCGCGAGAAAAAATGTGATGAAACGTAGCAGCAATGAAGGAAGAGCTAAAGTACAAGAAGAACAATTGTTGGCAGTATCGAACAGATATTCAACTTTGCAAATAGTTGAAAGTGATGATGATACCGGAGCGAATGGCCATGCAAACATCCGCTGCGACTCGATTTTAGACTGCTTTGCGTCCTCGGACAGTAGCACTGGCAGATCATATGAAATAGCAACAAAAGAAATATTTGAGGAATTAAATTGGAAACCTTAGCTGATCGATGGGAGAAAAATAAGTTAGTGTTTATGTATAAAGCGTAAAATAGTGAGCTACCAGAAAGTATCAACCAATTGTTCGAAATCGCTAATAAACAAAACTACAATTTACGCAGCAACGGTAATGATTTTCTTTTACAAAAGCCAAAAACAAATTACATGAAAAAAAGTATCATTTATAATGGAGGAATAGCGTGGAATAATTTGTCAAATAATGCAAAAGCAACAAATATGACAATTGGACAATTTAAGGCTGCTCTCGACCGCAAATAATACGTGATTTTCTTCTGTAAATATTTTTCTATATTTGATATTTCCTGCATGTTAATTAAGTTACTTTATATTATTCTGTAAATATCTATATCTATTTGACAACATTTCTTGCATGTAAAATCCTAATTACGTTGTTGTCATGTAAATAATGTATATCTTTAATATAATATTTTGTAAATATTTTAAACGGCCCCTTGGAAATCAACTACCTAGGTGTGTTGAAGGGTTACCGTTTTTAAATAAGAGTTTAAATAAGAGTTAATAACATCGGTGCGAGTCGATGTCAGTGATACATCATGCATTTTAAGGTTTCCTTGCCTGGCTGCCAAAATGGCGCGCGTTTCAGCATCTTATTACTTACATTACTCAATGAGTCGTGATGTTTCTTGCGCAAACAACTAAATTGCGTACACAACTTTACATTATCATAACTATCTAATTTGCGCCGCTCTCGTGATTCGTGAAACATAATAAAGCAAAATAATAACAGCAAAAAAGGGCATAATTCCCGTGATCACTTCGAAACCTGACAATATTCCGGTAATGTTACATTGCGTGTGTTCACTGATCATGTTTAATAATAATAATAAATAATAGTAATAATAATAGGTTTATTCTAATAATAATAATAATAGGTTTATTCAAAAACTTATTGCAGCAAATGCTGAATTACAAGTTAATACATAAATTATCAAGAATAACAATATCTTTAAAAATCTGTCAAGTTACATATTTTACATGTTAGAAGATATCAATATTTACATGTTATAAAATTTAAAAATCTATCAGTATTTATGGAATTAGAACACTTATATTCGCTTATTAAATGTCGTAAGTTATGCTCATGGTTTATCGCAACGCTGTTGTAATTAAAGAGTTTTTAAGCGGACAAGGCGATTTATTGTCTTTAGCCAACTTTTTACAAATCTCTTCTCGTCTTTTAATCAGCGTTTAAAAAACTCATTAATAATTCATGAAAAAACACAAAGAAAAATCATAAGCGTATCGTATCTGTGTATGTGATACAGATTCATGTTGATTTACATAAATTTTAACTTTGATTCTCTCGGCTTATAGACAACGTTTATTTTTAAAATTACTTCGCCAATGAACTCATAAGATGAGTCGTTTTTTAAAAGATTCGCGCACACGTTCGTGTTACAACATTCGTGTCCGTGTTGTATCCGATACAACACGGCCGCTCATCTTGTAAATAGTACTTAGAGACCAGCCTTCTGCAGCGATTCTTTATACGACGATCCAGGGTCAATTATTTTTAAGGCTCGCTTTTGGACTCTCTCAACTTTAGCTTTTAAGTAGTCCGGAATAGCAGACCAAACAGGGGCAGCGTATTCGAGGATTAGTCTGACTAATCTGCATTATACTGATCAAGTTGTTGATACCCAATCCTTGCTTTCCGTGGTATACACAGTATATAGAGTCTCTTATTAGCTTTCTTAGTAATATAATCACAGTGTAGATTCCATGAGAGATCGTTATCGAAATAAACAGCAAGTAACTTGTATGATGATACTCTTTTAATTGTATTCCCACCAACCTGTAATGCATCTTGGATGTAAGTCTTAGTATTAATGGCAGATATCTCAAAAAAGTTAATTATATAAAATATCTAGGAGTTTTTATTGATTCCCACCTATCCTGGAAATTTCAGGTGGATCATATTGCAAGAAAGATCAAAAGAGGAATTGGCATTCTTTCTAAACTTAGACATTTTCTAAATATTAAGATTTTAGTCAATCTGTATTATGCAATAATATACCCATTTTTGATCTATGCATTGATAATTTGGGGTAACACATATTCAGCCACACTTAAACCACTTATTATACTTCAAAAGAAAGCCATGCGTTTTATCACCTTTTCTCGCTTTGATGAACACTCAAGTCCTCTTTTTAAGCACGTCCAAATCTTGAAGTTCACCCATCTCATTACATTACGTATGACCATGTTTATGTACAAATATCATCGACAACTTTTGCCCTCGAGTTTAAATGATCTCTTTACTCCTGTCTATCAAATACATTCATATAATACTAGACTTTCATCAAATCTTTGTTTTTTTTTCCGAAAATAAGAACAAATTTTGGATTATTTAATATTAGATATCAGGGAATGAAAGCATAGAACGTGCTGAGTGAAGATGATAAACAGATGACATTTTTACAACTTAAGAAAAAAATTAAAGCTACTTTTATTAATCAGTATTAATTTTTTCTTTATTCCTAAAAATGATTGTCTTTTCTTTGCATTTTTCATTTTTCTTTATGCTTTAAAAATTTGTAATTATTGTAAGATCAATCTTACAATTATTGATTAATTGTGCTACTTGCCCCCAGTCTTTTAGCCTTATGGTTATTTTGGGGTGTCAGCTCCTTTATTTTAATGAAATTAATAAGTAACATTAATAGATAAAAAAGGAATAATGTAAAACAAAAATGTAATTGTGTGATTATTACGGAGCAATAAATTGTCTTGTCTTTTCTTGTCTTGTCTTGTCTTGTCGTGGAATGGTAATCTGTACTGGAGAAAAGCATTTCTCCAGTGCATTTCTTCGAGTTTAATCGCATGCCCCTTGTAGAGGCATAATCGAAGATGTCATTGCCCAGCAAGGGAGTCACACTCAGTGAACATCTTGGGATAAATTCTATAGTTGTTAGGTCGTCCCCGAATTTGATTCTGAAATTTTAATCACGAAGTAGACTGTTTACCAGGGCCGCAAATAGAAAGGGTCAAATTTACTACTTTGAAGTATACCTCCATTAAGACACTTAAACGAGGACATCTTATTGCGGATGCGAACACATTGTTTCCTTCTCGTCAAAAAGGTTCGAATCCATCTCACTACCGCGGGGCGTACATCCAATTTCTCTAATTCAGCAACTAGGACACCGTGATCAACTAAATCGAAACCTTTACTAAAGTCTGCGAAAAATACGCGAGCCGAGGAACCACCTCGGTCAAGGGTCTCCAGAATATTATGTAGTAAAAAGACTAATGTAGAACGGCCTTTCATTGCGAACTGATATGGGTCAATCTGGTCGCCAATATCGGCCAGTAAGGGTTCCAAAGTAAAGCCTTCCATTATTTTGGCTATTTGCGTTGCCAGAGATAGTGGGCGAAGGTCGTCCTCAATTATCTTGGGCGGCGTACACTTAGGTATTGGGGAGACAATTGATGACTTTAATAATTCAGGGATTTTTCCTTGTCTCAAAGTACTGGTATAAATGTCAGACAAAGTACTGGTATAAATGTTTTAACTTGTTTGACACCCAAGGTTTATCATAGACGCTGATTTTTTGCTTTTTCAAAGGGAAGTTGAAGATGATGAATGGTTTGGTGCATGTTAGCGATGGCATTATTCTAGAAAGGAATGTTGGGAAAACGAGAAGAACAAGAGCCACGAGCAACCCAGAAAGCATCTTGCTCCGTGAGACGAAATGCAGAACGGTGACATTTCAACGCTCATTCATCAACAGATCGACCAGGATATGGAACATTCTGCCTGATGAACTGAGACATCAATCTTTGAGCTTAGTCAAATTTAAATCTTTATTACTCGATTATTACCGTACCGCTTTAAATCTAGTCTATGATCACGATACCACTACCGCTACCTCTTGCTGACCTGATGTGCATGTAATTGGTTAGCTCGATAAACTATAATGTTCAGTGGTGGCGGTAGTGGTGGTGGAAGTCGAATCTTGTTCTTGCTATGTATTGCATTGCATTGCATTGTATTGCATTGCACTGCATTGCATAATATTCAGTATTGTTCTGTGCGATGTAGTTTTGTTTTGCGATATGTTGTTTTATGTTGTATTCCTAAAATTTAGCAATTTTTAAAGGGCCCACAGTAATTGGTGTTTACTGTTGTGGTGTCTCTGCCACTTGTTTGTTGTAAGTGGCGAAGTTTAATAAATAAATAAATTAATTAATAAATAAATAAATAAGTTGATTTCGATTTCGTATTTCGTATTATTTTCGGTTGCGTATTAGAAAATACGCTGGTCAGACAAAATAGTCTGTGATTTAATATATCACTTTGTCGCCTATGCGCTCAGTCTCTTTATAAGCCTATAAAAACATTTTTCCTTGCTGGAAGTAACTATATTTTTTCAAATGCGCTTGTTCCCACCTTCTTTCAAAATTCGGCGGAATAGGCTCCCTGTTTTCATTTCTGCGCCCCACAAGAATTGCCAGCTGGGACCCCCGCCCATTCCCCCCCCCCCCCCCCCCCCCCCCCCCCC